TGTAGCATACGTCACAGTATAGCATTCAAATGTCTGAGGACCTTTGAGAGTTTTTTGTAAAGTACCTACTTTACCAGTTGTGAACAGTTTACGATATCTACTTATGTTTAGCCAGTGTGGTGTAGTATTCATTAACTCATTCAGTGCGCCAGGTTAAAGAAGAATTACAGTTGAATACAGCATGGAACTCGTCACCCATTACTTGGCAGTCACACAATGTTCATATCTTTTGTTCTCGTGATATAATTCCATCGATCTGTTTCTATTGGTAGTTTGTGCTTACCAGTTTCAGAAACAGTAAAAGTTTAGAAATATGATCAGTGAAAAGTAAATAGTATATATCATTCTGTTCCAAAAGACAACACTAACTATTGGAAAAACTTGGACACTTTTAATTTACTCAATAGATGTACATTTGACAAAATCGTCCAATTCTCACACAAGATCATCCAAACACAGCTGCCAGATCTCTCAATCCACATTTCATCTTACTCTATGAAAGCTGCTGGCCGAACGACTGATTCTGATTTGGTGTGGTTGTTGTTGACATCCTGGAGGCGTGGCGCCAGCACTCTCAGGAGTTGCAAAGTAGTTCTTTCTGAAACCAGTTCAGACTTCAGATAAAATAATATCCATTTACTTCAATGTAAGTAGTGAATATATTGTCAACAAGAAGTAAAAAAAAAATACCCAAGCATCTTGCAAGTGTTAATGGAAGTGATTTGGAGTTGTTTGGTAACAAAGGCTTACCTTTCTTATAAATTGGCTTAATTACACGCCATTTAACCAACCATTCTTCTGGTGTCTTACCAGTATGAAATATTATTTTGAAGAATTTAAGCTAAACAGTCATCTTTTCGCCTTCTAATGCCGACGTGCCATCCAATTTTAACTCATTCGCTTTCAGGCTGACACAAGCCGACTTGGCGAGGTTCCTAGCTGTCGGACGGGCGCTCGTCTGACTGATTGGACCCAAGCCGGGTCGGGTGGTCCCTCGCCGGCGTGTCCCCTCGCCGGCGTGTCCCCTTGCCGGCGTTTCCCTCGCCGGCGTTACCCTCGCCGGCTGCTCCCTGGCGAAAATCCGTCTTTGTCCGGCGCAGGCGCACTCGTGGATTTTGGTGTTACGCGAAAAGCAAATGTTTTCCCAGGGACCTTTTATATTTTTATTTTTATTTTATTCTCTCTCTCTCTCTCTCTCTCTCTCTCTCTCTCTCTCTCTCTCTCTCTCTCTCTCTCTCTTATTACTCGACAACAACCATCGGTGGTACATGAGTTGTACAACAACAAAAACTACAGTAATAGATGTACAGCTTGATGACATATATTGTAGCATACGTCACAGTATAGCATTCAAATGTCTGAGGACCTTTGAGAGTTTTTTGTAAAGTACCTACTTTACCAGTTGTGAACAGTTTACGATATCTACTTATGTTTAGCCAGTGTGTGTAGTATTCATTAACTCATTCAGTGCGCCAGGTTAAAGAAGAATTACAGTTGAATACAGCATGGAACTCGTCACCCATTACTTGGCAGTCACACAATGTTCATATCTTTTGTTCTCGTGATATAATTCCCATCGACCTGTTTCTATTGGTAGTTTGTGCTTACCAGTTTCAGAAACAGTAAAAGTTTAGAAATATGATCAGTGAAAAGTAAATAGTATATATCATTCTGTTCCAAAAGACAACACTAACTATTGGAAAAACTTGGACACTTTTAATTTACTCAATAGATGTACATTTGACAAAATCGTCAATTCTCACACAAGATCATCCAAACACAGCTGCCAGATCTCTCAATCCACATTTCATCTTACTCTATGAAAGCTGCTGGCCGAACGACTGATTCTGATTTGGTGTGGTTGTTGTTGACATCCTGGAGGCTGGCGCCAGCACTCTCAGAGTTGCAAAGTAGTTCTTTCTGAAACCAGTTCAGACTTCAGATAAAATAATATCCATTTACTTCAATGTAAGTAGTGAATATATTGTCAACAAGAAGTAAAAAAAAAATACCCAAGCATCTTGCAAGTGTTAATGGAAGTGATTTGGAGTTGTTTGGTAACAAAGGCTTACCTTTCTTATAAATTGGCTTAATTACACGCCATTTAACCAACCATTCTTCTGGTGTCTTACCAGTATGAAATATTATTTTGAAGAATTTAAGCTAAACAGTCATCTTTTCGCCTTATAATGCCGACGTGCCGTCCAATTTTAACTCATTCGCTTTCAGGCTGACACAAGCCGACTTGGCGAGGTTCCTAGCTGTCGGACGGGCGCTCGTCTGACTGATTGGACCCAAGCCGGGTCGGGTGGTCCCTCGCCGGCGTGTCCCCTCGCCGGCGTGTCCCCTTGCCGGCGTTTCCCTCGCCGACGTTACCCTCTCCGGCGTTACCCTCGCCGGCTGCTCCCTGGCGAAAATCCGTCTTTGTCCGGCGCAGGCGCACTCGTGGATTTTGGTGTTACGCGAAAAGGAAATGTTTTCCCAGGGACCTTTTATATTTTTATTTTTATTTTATTCTCTCTCTCTCTCTCTCTCTCTCTCTCTCTCTCTCTCTCTCTCTCTCTCTCTCTCTCTCTCTCTCTCTCTCTCTCTCTCTCTCTCTCTTTTACTCGACAACAACCATCGGTGGTACATGAGTTGTACAACAACAAAAACTACAGTAATAGATGTACAGCTTGATGACATATATTGTAGCATACGTCACAGTATAGCATTCAAATGTCTGAGGACCTTTGAGAGTTTTTTGTAAAGTACCTACTTTACCAGTTGTGAACAGTTTACGACATCTACTTATGTTTAGCCAGTGTCTGTAGTATTCATTAACTCATTCAGTGCGCCAGGTTAAAGAAGAATTACAGTTACATACAGAATGGAACTCGTCACCCATTACTTGGCTGTCACACAATGTTCATATCTTTTGTTCTCGTGATATAATTCCCATCGACCTGTTTCTATTGGTAGTTTGTGCTTACCAGTTTCAGAAACAGTAAAAGTTTAGAAATATGATCAGTGAAAAGTAAATAGTATATATCATTCTGTTCAAAAAGACAACACTAACTATTGGAAAAAACTTGGACACTTTTAATTTACTCAATAGATGTACATTTGACAAAATCGTCAATTCTCACACAAGATCATCCAAACACAGCTGCCAGATCTCTCAATCCAGTTGATGATTCAAGCAGCCCTGTTGCTAGGCTGACTTCATATGGCATTGTTTCACCTGTGTATTTTGCAACAAAATTTCACAAATTACGTTATAGGGTATTGTGACGTGTCTGTAAACTGTGCGTTGCAGGGCCCCGTTCCACAAAGCGATTGTAGCGCAACGACAATCGTAAGTCTATGTTAAAGTATGGGAGTGCCACGATATAGCTTTGTGGAACGGACCCCTGACTTCTAAAGGTTGGCCGTGTAAGATATTAAAACAAATTGTCAATTTTTAATGTTTTGGAAGTTTTATTCTGTCAAGTTCAATTGGATTATGATGTGGAAATCAGATGGCAATATCTAAAGCGAATGATATAAGGGGAGCAACTCTGTAGGCTTTTGCGGCATATGAGGTGCGCCTCACCAGCATCCGGGGACCATCTATCAGTTTCACTCTTTGAACGTTGTACGAAGTTACACAATTCTTGTTTGTTTGTTTGTTGTTTTACGCCACACTCAACAATATTCCAGCTATATGACGGCGGTCTGTAAATAATCAAGTCTGGACCAGACAATCCAGTGATTGACATCATGACCATCGGTCCACGCAATTGGGATACGATGACATGCATCAACCAAGTCAGCGAGCCTGACCACCCGATCCCGTTAGTCGCCTCTTACGACAAGCTTTGTCGCCTTTTCCGGCAAGCATGGGTTGCTGAAGACCTGTTCTACCCCGGATCTTCACGGGTCTCATGTGATGAGATCGTGATATTTATTGAACGTACTCCATAGCTTACCGACTATAGACCTCGGAACCAAGAATCCCCTCAAGTCGTTCTGGCACTTTGATAAGAAGTGTTTTCTTATCACGACCTGGCAGGGTTGTCCATTTAAAAAAATTAATTAACACTTTCGATTCTTTGTCCTTCAGAACCTTGAACTGTAGACACAGCTTATCGGCTCAACTAGGTGTCTCCTCGGTTTCTTTCATCTTCCCGTGACAAAGGAGTTAACTGACTTTAAAAGTCCAATTTCCACCCTTGCCGAACTAGGCTGGAATTCCTGGGCTCGATCGTAGCGCCACCAGTGGTTATTACAAGTTATGTCCCTTCTAAACCTCTCCTATGGTCCAATCAGATTCCACCTCTCGTATCACTTGCATTTGCTTCAAACAAAATGGCGGCGCCCAGTCAAAACGATCTGATCGATAATCAAGATCTATATTGTGATAAAACGGGTCTTACATCGCGAAGTGTATCAAATGACGTGAGCACCTTGATTAAAAACATGAAAAGATTTGGAAATTATCCGTTGGCAACGAGTTGGCGGTGCAATCGACCAAAATGTGCACGAAAGTTTACGAACCGGATTTCGATTTCGTTGCGCGATTTTGATTGGACTATGCAAAGACTCGTTAGTCCAGCCAAAATGTAACTCCATAATACCAGCCTATTTCGGCAAGGGTGGAAACTGGACTTAACTCTCTTGCCTCGGGAAGATTGGTTTCTTGTGACCCGTCAAGCTTAATAGCTCGTTTCTCTCAATGAGATCGGTCACTCTGAGAAGATGGAGCTCGCCAATAACATAATTATCTACTGTGATGTCAAGCAGCGGGTAGATGGTCGGCACCATACATCATTTTGTTTGCATGTTCATGTGAAGTGGCCTCTGGGAATAATATTCAATTGACAAAGATGTGTCGTGTTTGTCATCCTTGAGCACAAGACATAAAGGTCATGCATGATGTCTGATGTTCTGCATAAACCTAACATGACCAATATGATCTTCATGTCGGAGCAAAACAGAACATTTGTTACCCGGCTTTCAACAACAAACAAACAAACAAATAGTCCTACAGTACTTTATTTATACAAGAAAACGAACAAGAGAACAGTTTACAAAAAGCTTTTACATTCTTCTGTTGATGGTCCTACATTCATCTAGATGGCGTGAAGGCATCTGTAAGATTGGTTGGTTGGCTGGTTTGTTGTTTAACGCCGTACTCAGCAATATTCCAGCTATATGACGGCGGTCTGTAAATAATCGAGTCTGGACCACGCAGTTGGGATACGATGACATGCATCAACCAAGTCAGCCAACCCGATACCGTGAGTCGCCTTTTACGAATAACGGGATCGGGTGGTCAGGCTAGCTGTAAGATTGAAGTAATACTACCTTAAGTTTGTGTGTTTATTTGTTGTTTAACGCCGCACTCAGTAATATTCCGGCTATATGACGGCGGTCTGTAAATAATCGAGTTTGGACCAAACAATCAAGTAATTGACATCATATATAAACATCGATCTACGCAATTGGGATAAGATGACATGCATCAAACCAAGTCAGCGAGCCTGACCACCCGATCCCGTTAGTCGCCTCCTTTTAAGACAAGCATGGGTTGCTGAAGACTCTACCGTAAGTACTACATATGAACGACTGTGTTCATGTGTTTATAAATCAATAACAATTCAAGCTGGATGTCTCCTGCCACATCGGCTGCACACTTCACAAACGCAGGTAAGTCAACTGTTCACCTGAAAAACAAACACACGGAAACATACAATAAGGTCCAAGCCAAAATAGGGAATTGAATCTGACTCCATATTTGTCCATGGTGCGTAAATGTTAGCAATATCCTCCATATGTCTACCGTAACAGTTTTGGAAGCGTTTGTATTGACGCCTTGAATGCTGTAACCATGATATAGCAGCCTTTACGCAAGAGTCACATGCCCGATTGTACGTCAAACGTTGTAAAATGTAAAATCCAGTGACTGAAGCTGCTGGAATATTTCTCGTTTATTTGTTTGTTTGTTTTTTTAACGCCGCACTCAACAATATTCCAGCTATATGAAGGCAGTCTGTAAATAATCGAGTCTGGACCAGACAATCCAGTGATTGATATCATGCGCATCGATCCACGCAATTGGTATCGATGACATGCATCAACCAAGTTAGCGATCCTGACAACCCGATCCCGTTAGTCGCCTCTTACGATAAGCATGGGTTGCTGAAGACCTATTCCACCCCACATCTTCATTGGTCACAATAAAGATTATATTAATTCACTGCATTAAAAGGCGACTATGCTTGTCGTAAGAGGCGACTAACGGGAACGGGTGGTCAGCCTCGCTGACTTGGTTGAGGCATGTCATCGTATCCCAATACTCCTGCCATAGGACAGCGGCCTGCACAACACGGACGACTTACCAGAACGACGTTAGGAAGTTGGTTGACGTTAGCAGAAGTTACAACATGGCGGAGGGCCACAACAGGTCAGACACAACTCCGGCTTCTTTGTTGCTGAAAGTAAACAGTTACATATTGTGTCGTTGCTCATTTGGGGAGGGGGGAAGGTGGCGGGGGCTACTCATACTCGGTTATATGTCTCATTACAGCAGGGGGCAACTGGGGCGTTGTGACACGTACACCGTCATTTGAATTAGCATGGTGTGTTCATTTAGCTAGTCCGTCGGGGTAAAGACTTTCTGAGTGAATTTAAATGTCAATACACATGTACATGTCTTTCTGTACGCTCGCTGTGTTCAGGTATTACTGTGCATTTTTACTGATATGTGGATAATAGACATACAATCAAATTGGGACAATTCACGTATGACAAACCATTTTAAGTGCAATTGAAAAGACATCATTGTCAGTTCTAAATCTAATTCAATCATTCAAACGCTACCTTTTGAAACGCAGAAGGCATTCCGAGCTGATTTGTTATTCAGTCAATTCGTGTCCCACGCCCAGCTATGACACAAGCATTATTGTGAAGAGCTATGACCAGCGTTATTGTGTTAAGACCCCGTGAAGATCGGGGTTGGAATAGGTCTTCAGCAACCCATGCTTGCCGTAAAAGGCGACTATGCTTGTCGTAAAAAGCGACTAACAGGATCAGGTGGTCAGGCACGCGGACTTGGTTGATGCATGTCATCGTCTCCCAATTGCATGGACCGCCTCCGTGGTCCAGAAGTAGAGCGCACGCCCGTAGAGCGGAAGGTCCGGGGTTCGATCCCCAGCCGCCTCGTACCAAGAGACGTTAAAAGATAGTAGTTGTTGTTACCCTGTCTGGCGCTCGGCATTATGGGCTAAAAGAAGGACTGGTCGGCTCGGAGTCAGTATACTGTGTCTGAGTTGGGTATTCATGTTAAACTGCGGCATGATATCTGTCCGGCATCAGACCCGACTAGTACAAGCAGCCACACACACACACACACACACACACACACACACACACACACACACACACACACACACACACACACACACACGCACTAACGCACACACACGTCGCTACATAGGTGCAATAGTATTGGACGCGACGTTAAACCCCATTTCACCTCACCTCGCCCCAATTCCATGGATCGATGCTCATAACATCAGTCACTGGATTGTCTTGTCAAGACTCGATTATTTATATAGCTTCCCTATTGCTGAGTGCGGCGCGTTAAACAACAAACAAACAAATACTGTGTTGAGAAAGCAGGTCATATCGACGTTCTTCTGAATTCAACACTGTAGTCATATATCTCCCATCACACAACAGACCTTACTGCACGTCTGTGTTTTTGAATAATGATACTTGTGTGAGGTCGAAATGTCAGCACGTTTTTTTTCCCTTTTAATAGGGTTATATTTGAATATGACAAGAAACTTTCTGAATATAACGAACACTGGCTGTCCTTTATGCTGTGAGTCATGATATTGCGTACAACCATACTGACATGACAAGTTGAATCACTACATACAGTAGTAGCATCGGCAGTTATAATAGCTGTAGCAGTAGTCGTCGTAGTTCTAGATGTTAATTGGTAGCAATTTTTGTGGTAGTAGTAGTAGTAGTAGTAGTAGTAGTAGTAGTAGTAGTAGTAGTCTTGCTTGACAACGGTATAAGGATCTATACCGAAACGTCGCTTTTAACAGTATTAAAGAAGTTGTTATCCATAAAAATATTGTGTCTATCTTGTCATCCGTCAACTTCTAAGTAATGCCTATCAAACAAGTTAGTAGTAGTGGTTGTCATGGTTGTTGAATATTAGTATGTTGTCATAGTCACTGTGGTAGTAGTAGTTTATTGTTTAACGGCTCACTCAACAATATTACAAATTTATGAAGGCGGTCTGTAAATAATCTAGTCTGGACCAGACAATCCAGTGATTGGCATCATGCTCATCGATTGGGATACGATGACATACGATCCCAAGTCAACAAGCCTGACCACCCGATCCCGTTAGTCGCCTCTTACGACAAGCATGGGTTGCTGAAGAGCTGTTCTACCCCGGAATCTCCAAGGAACGTACCCATTTTAATAACTACTGACTATTGTACAATGTCATATCATGTCGGTATTGCAACAAGTCCAACATTTATAAATTAAAACAGTAGAAAAGCCAGCGTTTTGAGAAAACTTCGTGTTTTTGTTCAATTATAATGAAAACCTTTAAGTCCTTTGTAAAAACTTAAATTTTGTTAAACTCTACCTATACATATATACCGTCATGTTCTATTAACTTATTCAATCCTATTATAGTTCAAAAGCCGTTTTACGCGGCCTGAAACGCAATAAAAGTTCACAGGTATTGATGTTTCAGGAAATACTACGCAGAATATGGAAACTAGTGAGTGATAATCATGTGTTAGACAACTGGACAAAAGGTTTTAATGTAAACATATTCACGCTTACTTGTGGGGGGTGGTTTACACTTGCATATTGGACAGCCCAATATTTCGACATTGCCGTGACCACATTTGATCCACTGCAGACAACGAAACCTTGGACATCTGTATCTGAAGGTCCCTGGAGAAGACATAGATGACATCACAAGTGGGTGAACATTGTCTTTGTTTCTTTTACCCAAAATAAGGCAATGCTTTGGTTTGTTTGATGCTTAACGCCGCATTCAGCGATATTCAAGCTATATGGCGGCGGTCTGTAAAAAATCAAATCTAGACGAGACAACCCAGTAATTGACATAATGAGCATCGATCCACGCAATTGGGATAGATGACATGCATCAACCAAGTCAGGGAGCCTGACACCCCGATCGAGTCAGTCGCCTCTTCCAACAAGCATGGGTTGCTGAAGACCTATTCCACCCCGGATCTTTAATTGGGATACGATGACATGCATAAACCAAGTCAGCGAGCCTGACCACCCGATCCCGTTAGTCGCCTCTTACGACAAGCATTGTCGCCTTTTACGGCAAGCATGGGTTGCTGAAGACCTATTCCACCCCGGATCTTTAATTGCGATACGATGACATGCATAAACCAAGTCAGCGAGCCTGACCACCCGATCCCGTTAGTCGCCTCTTACGACAAGCATTGTCGCCTTTTACGGCAAGCATGGGTTGCTGAAGACCTATTCCACCCCGGATCTTTAATTGGGATACGATGACATGCATCAACCAAGTCAGCGAGCCTGACCACCCGATCCCGTTAGTCGCCTCTTACGACAAGCATTGTCGCCTTTTACGGCAAGCATGGGTTGCTAAAGACCTATTCTACCCCGATGTTCACGGGTCAGGAGCGCAAATGGATATCATTTACTTGACTTTCTTATCACCTCGCTGTTTTTGTGTAAAAAAATAATACCCACCTTCCGCATTTGTGATGGAAAGGCATGTGACGACAGCGAGGCCAAACACAAGCCGCACAGCTAGACGATCCATTGCGCTAGTCAGAGAAACACTGACGCATATCATAGCAGCAGGCTTCTTCTATACACGTACATGAATTTACGTGTACGAAGAACTCTGATTGGTTGAGAGTCAACCAATGCCACACCCCGGTGTATTCGTCAGTTTGACTCTGAACAGGATATTGAAGCAAACCAAACAACGAGAGGAACAGATTCAATACGCCCTCACTCCACACATCATCAACTCTGCTCCACTCCTGCGAGTGAAAGCAAGCACTTAAAACGACAGCCCCAGGCGTTGAGGATCCGAGTTGGGGATGGTCTTCAGCAACCCATGCTGGTCGTGGGTGGCGACGAACGGGATCGCTTACTTGGTTGAAACATGTTTTATCATATTCAACATATGTATAATGTATAATGTCACTATTGATAATAACGGCCAGAACCTGCAACAGTTTTGTTTGGTTTGTTGTTTAACGCCGAACTCAGCAATATTCCAGCTATATGACGGCGGTCTGGAAATGTTTGTTTGAGCAATTCTTAAATTGTGTTGCAGGTTGCTGTGAAGATTCCGGGGTAGAATAGGTCTTCAGCAACCCATTCTTGCCGGAAAAGGCGACTATGCTTGTCGTAAAAGGCGACTAACGGGATCGGGTGGTCAGGCTCGCTGACTTGGTTGATACATGTCATTGTTCCCAATTGCGCGGATCGATGCTCATGATATTAAACACTGGATTGTCTAGTCCAGACTCGATTATTTACAGACCGCCGTCATATAGCTGGAATATTGCTGAGTGCGGCGTTAAACAACAAACAAACAAAACAAACAATTGCGTTGATCGATGCTCATGATATTAATCTCTGGATTGTCTGGTCCAGACTCGATTATTTACAGACCGCTGCCATACAGCTGGACTATTGCTGAGTACGGCGTTAAACAACAAACAAACAAATATAAATCAACGGCTTACGTAAATGCTGGGACATATTGCTTGAATAGAAGAACGCACCTTCACCTCATCATTAATAGTTTGTCGTCGTTAGCAGGGAACGTCCGGAAATGACTATGTACATATTATAGTGTTTCCATGTCGAGACAAGCCCAAGAGACACCGCTCTATGGAATCGTAGAAGGGACATTGTCGCGTCGTAGTATTTGAGCCACAACAACACGTTATTTTGAGTTGTCGCATCTAGAATTTTTATATTTTAATGTGAAGACGCGACAATTGTTCAAAATGGCATATTGTCGCACTTTCAAAAAAGGAAGCAAAATATGACAAAATTAACCAAATGCGCGGCATCGCAGCAATGCGATAATGCGACATTTAACCGTTAGTCGCATTATCGCCTATTGATCAATATATTATTTTTTTCTACGAAAGAGAGAGAAGGCAACAATTGGTCAAGAAATCGCGTTGTCGCGCTTTGGAAAATGGTAAACAACGCAACTATGTCCCTTCTGAGATTCCATACAACTCAGAACATGCGGGTTGTCATCTGACCTAGTTACATTCTCCCGGGGCACGTTGTTAAACTTGTTGACAGGCTAATCTGACTCGCAGTAGCAGGTAAAATATAGCCGTAACTGTCACCGCGTTAGCACACAGAGAGGAGAAATAAAGTGTCTGTGCGTGCATGTGTTGTTTAACGCCGCAGTCAGCAATATTCAAGCTTAATCATGGTCACGGAGCTGTGATCAGGGGTGTCATTGAGCAAGATTAAAGTAGGGGAGCTGAAATTGGTCTTAACGCCGCGTCCAAGATTATTGCACTAATATAGCGACCAAGATTACAGTAATAATGAAAACGTGATAACAAGTTCACAGTTTTATTACTAGCCGCTAATTGTATCAATAGATGACAATCAAAAGGATCAAAATCCCAATCTATACGGTGTCAGCCCGATCTGTCGTCACATGAAAAATATGTTCTTGCTAACCGTCGACAAAAGAAATTACTCGGCCTGTCGACATGGTGGTCACTTAACCGTGACAGTGTTAATTAACTGATGAGAATGCTTTCTTAGTGATTATTGATGGCTACTCTTGGTAAAATGAGTAAAGGGATTAAGTTAAAGACAATATTATTCTTAAATAATTGTTAAGAAAAGTAAGACTATATTTGACTTATAATGTGAGTAAGAAAACTGGCAAATGCTATCGTGCATGTTTCACTGATAGACAACAGTTATGGAGGTCAGAATCTTTACCACAATGGATTTAAGTACAGAGTCAACAGACGCAGAGCTCAGAAAACATACTGGAGATGTACAGATGCCCACTGCCCATCGTACCTGGTGCCACAAAACAACGTGCTGAATGCAGTCGGTCAAGGTCACAACCACCCTCCTGACCCTTTTCTGACTGAAGTTGATGTGTTCAAGTCAAAGCTCCATCATCGTGCAATGACTGACAGCATCACGCCTATCCCCCAGATCTATCAAGAAGAAGTCAGCAACTGGAGACAGAACCCAACGGCTGCTCCTGACGCCCTTCTCAAACACATCCCTCTCTTTGACTCCACGAGAACCAGCATGTATCGACAGAGACATATATATGTATGTTGTTATATTGACCGAATAAACTAATATAATGTGTACTACATATCTCGTACTCTGTTGTTAATTGCTTTGTTAATCACTCATGTCTGACATCATCTCAATTTCCTGGACTGTCGACACATATTTGGCAATGATCACTGATTATATTAATCCGAGCAAATACACAAGCGGCTTAACTGAGCAGCTGTATTACGGAAATAAATCGAGAGTAGCTGAACAACAATTTCACAAGATATTGACAAGTTGCGAATACAGCCAATTAAGTAGGCTGCGACCAGTTAACAGCTGAGTTAATTAACTCTAAACACTAATGAGTGAATAGTGAGTGAGTGAGTTGGGTTTAACGCCGCTTTTAACAGTATTCCAGTTATATCACGGCGTGTCAGCTTTATTTGGGAGGAAAGCCCGAAGTGATACGAGTCTCAGACGTTTACCACTTCGGTGAAAGCCACGAGCACGGGTATGGTGCTGACAAACCTAGAAACATAATCGGGGCGAACTGGGATTCGAACCCACAATCATAGATTTCTGGCGTGCCCAAGGGACGCAACTCTGCACAGCGAATCGCGGCGCCTTAGACGACTGGGCCACCCGTGCCCCCTAATGAGTGAAAAACCTAAGCTGGGTTCAAAAACGGGAAATAAACACAGAGGGCCTGTCCCTAAATATGTCACTTGCACAATAAAATAAACGACAGCGTCTGAAAATCAAACTAGTCTAATAGACTAATGGTTCAGCCAATTTGACTGAGCAAGGAAATACTCAAATTACCCAAAATTGTAAAAAGTAATTTGGTTCAATGAAATATGCGGTTAGAAATGAATTGACCCCTATCATGTTTGCAATGTTTTAATCCAAATTTATTAATTTTCAAAGATTAGATGTCGAAGATGCCCTTCAGTAATTGTGTATTTTGAGTTTTAAATCAAATAATGATTCGTAAAATAAAACCATGTCGAAGTATTCTTTGAATGCTGACATAGCGCCAGTACAGTTCATGTTTTGGATATAATATCGCTACCTTTAGATATGTTCATTTTATAATCAAACATATGGTAATTTATAAGATCAACTGACAGGTATAGTTTCTTTTGACACTCAGTGTATTAATCGCTGCGTGACCAGTGTCGTTTTTGTGTGACGTCGTGCCCAAATGAGTTGGTGCAAGTTATCGGAAGCAATCTGATCAGTCGTCAGTTCTTGGCATGTTTTGTATACTCTGTAACCATCCAACACCCTTAACTACATGTTTCGTCTGTTTGTTGGTTTGTTGTTTAACGCCGAAATCCGCAATATTCCAGCTATATGACGGCGGTCTGTAAATAATCGAGTCTGGACATGACATTTCGGTCACTGACAGCATGAGCATCGATCTACGCAGTTGGGATACGATGACATGCATCAGCCAAGTCAGCGAGACTGACCACCCGGTCCCGTTAATCGTGTTCATACGACACGCAGAGTCGCCTTTCACGGCAAGCATGGGTTGCTGAGGACATAAGTGCCATATAAAGTCACCTGCATCACCGACAAGTATACGTATCCAGTTGTCATGATCATAGGTTCGTCTGGATTCGTGGATTGTCTGGTCCAGA